GTTGTTCTAAGTAAAAGACGCTGAGATTTGAATGTAAAATCCGTCATATATAGACACTTGTTCGCTAATCACTAACACAACTGTAGAGGATGCTATATGCGATAACACGTGTGTATTAGTAAAAAAGAAATTCAAGAACCAAACATAGATATATATTGCCTGAATATTCTAATATGAATAATTGGCTCTAGTTATATATCTCACGTGATAGGAGATGATTAGACAGGATTAGGTGAAAAGAGCGTACAAGCGTTCATATGGAGAAAAAAGAAACACATCACTTTAGAAAAGAAAGTTAGATGATTGTAAGACGAAAAAAATTTTAGAATCAATTTTTGAAAGTAAGAAATTCAAATAGATTTTCCAATACTTATTTTCATTATTTTTAAATTATTGCGAAATTGTCCTTTTTGTCATACCGTGTTACTATGATATACCTTGACAAAATACATGAGCATTTAATCCAATTTTCCAACAAAAATTTGAGATTAAAAGTGTAAATAGTTTTTATGTCTATATAGTGGAGACGGCCTTTATGCAGAGAACTTGGTTTTAATATGTTGAAATGGAATTGTAGGCACGCCATGACCGCATAGCGCAGTGGATTAGCGCGTCTGACTTCGGATCAGAAGGTCGTGGGTTCGACTCCCACTGTGGTCGCTTTTTGTCTGCTTCTTCTTTTGCCCCCTTTTATCTATTTCGTTACCATGCTGCTATTTAATTTATTTTTTTTTAATTTATCTATTTTACTTTTACAAATTTCCACACATCTATCAACAATTCGACATGGATTCTCCTTTTATTTAGCTGCAAAATCTGTAGTTAGAGAGTCATGAGAAAGACTTTTCCCTCCAAAACTACAGCACTACCCTAACTATTTGAATATCCATGTCAAATACTGATCTTCTATATTTGATTCAGAAAACTAACAAGGCTAAAGAGTGCTTCGACGCCAAGTAAAGAAAAAATTTTCGTTTTGAGAGCGCTCTCTCTTGTGTTACGCATAATAGGTGGATTGAAATGTAAATCTTCTTTTATTAGGTACGATTAAAAAGTGTCCTACGGGCATCAATTAATAAGATTCGTTCAGATTGCTTGGCATAAGTGTTATTGCGAGATAAACCCTTTTGGACTCTTCCCATGATAATTGGGTCCTCTTCCATATGGAGGGGAAACTGTTAAAAGCCTCTTGATGCTGGGCCCATATGAAGCACCTTCTTGGAGATGGGATAACTACTTATCTCTGGCATGAGGATTGGCATGTCTTAGGACCTCAGCTAAGAATGTTGACAAGCAGGGTGGTTTAAGATTCTGCTATGTCCTACCATTCAAAGGTTGCAGATGTCCTACCATTAAAGAGTGCTTCGACGCCAAGTAAAGACAAATTCTCATTTTGGAAGCACTCTTTTTTCTCACAATAGATGCATTGAAATGTAAATCTTCCTTTATTAGGTACGATTAACAAGTGTTGCATGGGCATCGATTAACAAGATTCGTTCGGATTGCTTGGCGTACGTGTTATTCCGAGATACACCCTTTTGGACTCTTCCTGTGATACTTAGTTCCTCTTCTATTCGGAGGAAATTTGTTAAAAGCTTCCTGATGCCGGCCTCATATGAAGCACCCTTCTTGGAGATGGGATAACTACTTATCTTTGGTATGAGAATTGGCGTATCTTAGGACCTCAGCTAAGAATGTTGACAAGCAGGGTGGTTTAAGATTCTGCTATGTCCTACCATTCAAAGGTTGCAGATGTCCTACCATTAAAGAGTGCTTCGACGCCAAGTAAAGACAAATTCTCATTTTGGAAGCACTCTTTTTTCTCACGATAGATGCATTGAAATGTAAATCTTCCTTTATTAGGTACGATTAACAAGTGTTGCATGGGCATCGATTAACAAGATTCGTTCGGATTGCTTGGCGTACGTGTTATTCCGAGATACACCCTTTTGGACTCTTCCTGTGATACTTAGTTCCTCTTCTATTCGGAGGAAATTTGTTAAAAGCTTCCTGATGCCGGCCTCATATGAAGCACCCTTCTTGGAGATGGGATAACTACTTATCTTTGGTATGAGAATTGGCATATCTTAGGACCTCAGCTAAGAATGTTGACAAGCAGGGTGGTTTAAGATTCTGCTATGTCCTACCATTCAAAGGTTGCAGATGTCCTACCATTAAAGAGTGCTTCGACGCCAAGTAAAGACAAATTCTCATTTTGGAAGCACTTTTTTTCTCACGATAGATGCATTGAAATGTAAATCTTCCTTTATTAGGTACGATTAACAAGTGTTGCATGGGCATCGATTAACATGATTCGTTCGGATTGCTTGGCGTACGTGTTATTCCGAGATACACCCTTTTGGACTCTTTCTGTGATACTTAGTTCCTCTTATATTCGGAGGAAATTTGTTAAAAGCTTCCTGATGCCGGCCTCATATGAAGCACCCTTCTTGGAGATGGGATAACTACTTATCTTTGGTATGAGAATTGGCGTATCTTAGGACCTCAGCTAAGAATGTTGACAAGCAGGGTGGTTTAAGATTCTGCTATGTCCTACCATTCAAAGGTTGCAGATGTCCTACCATTAAAGAGTGCTTCGACGCCAAGTAAAGACAAATTCTCATTTTGGAAGCACTCTTTTTTCTCACGATAGATGCATTGAAATGTAAATCTTCCTTTATTAGGTACGATTAACAAGTGTTGCATGGGCATCGATTAACAAGATTCGTTCGGATTGCTTGGCGTACGTGTTATTCCGAGATACACCTTTTTGGACTCTTCCTGTGATACTTAGTTCCTCTTCTATTTAGAGGAAATTTGTTAAAAGCTTCCTGATGCCGGCCTCATATGAAGCACCCTTCTTGGAGATGGGATAACTACTTATCTTTGGTATGAGAATTGGCGTATCTTAGGACCTCAGCTAAGAATGTTGACAAGCAGGGTGGTTTAAGATTCTGCTATGTCCTACCATTCAAAGGTTGTAGATGTCCTACCATTAAAGAGTGCTTCGACGCCAAGTAAAGACAAATTCTCATTTTGGAAGCACTCTTTTTTCTCACGATAGATGCATTGAAATATAAATCTTCCTTTATTAGGTACGATTAACAAGTGTTCCATGGGCATCGATTAACAAGATTCGTTCGGATTGCTTGGCGTACGTGTTATTCCGAGATACACCCTTTTGGACTCTTCCTGTGATACTTAGTTCCTCTTCTATTCGGAGGAAATTTGTTAAAAGTTTCCTAATGTGGGCCCATATGAAGCACCTTCTTTGAGACGAGATAACTACTTATCTCTGACATAACGATTGGCATGTCTGAGGACCTCAGCTAAGAATATTGACAAGTAGGGTGGTTTTAAGATTCTGCTATGTCTTCCCATTCAAAGGTTGCAGATGTTATTGAAGGCCAAAGTCGGCATTAGCATGTATGAGATTTTGTGATTCAATTGTCAACTGTTCTAAAAGTTTAAACTGTTAGATAAAAGCGTGATTTAATATTTAAATATTCTATCATTCCGCCCACAGTTAGTCTAGTCTTTTTTCTTTTTTACTTTGTACTAAGCGTGAACATATTTAATTGGAGAGGCAAATAGGAATTGGAAAGATTTGAACTCAGGACCTCATACTCTAATACCATGTGAGATTTTGTAAAACCACCACCAACTGTACTAAAATCTTGAACTATTAGATGAAGCAGTAATTTAATATTTAAATATTCTATCAACTTGCGGCTAGATCTGAGGATTTAGTTGAAATTCCAAGCTAATATTTGTGGTTCTCGGGTTCCTGATCCTTCCATATGCCTAATTGAGTTATTTAGAGGCCGACTACTTCAGTTATTTTCGCAGTTGGGAGTGCTAGGAATGAGCTGAGGCCTGTAAGGTTTGCGAGCTGCGGGGTACGAACGGAGTTGGTTCAATCCAACCATTCCAAAACATTGCTTCATTGCATGGTTAGCTATGCATGATAGGCTGGTTATTTCTCCTCTGTCCTGCTTTTGCCATTTTGCTGATGAAGATAGGAGCCATTTGTTCTATGCTTGTCCTGTTTAGTCCAGAGTCAGGACTGCCGTTCTGGAGCCGCATCTCATCCCTCCAATTCCTGATGGCTGGGATGATGAAGTTGCTCGGGCAGTTCCTGGTTTTAAGGGGATGCCATATCCAAAATTTGCCTTTTAAACTCACTTGGCTGGGAATGAATGTTGGCATATACAAAATTTGCCTTTTAAACTCACTTGGCTGGGAATGAATGCTGGCATGATCTCTTCTTGATCTGACAATGTGGATTGGATTGTGTAAAAGATAAAAGGGAAGTTCTCAGGGATAAAGATTCTTACTTGTGCTTATGTTCGGAGGAAAATAAACGTGGACACCCCCTAGAACACTTTACTCTAAATGGAACCTTCATTAGCTTTTGTGAGTCTTGAGCATGAAGCAGGATTTTGCTCTCCTGCTTTTGGTCCTTTACAACAACAACATCAACAATTCCTCTTTACAAAAGAAGTGACTATTTTTTATTTTTATTGTTAGTGAATAGCTAATTGCGAGCTCTCATCCACAACTTACCTTTTTTTTTTTTCACATTTACAGGTACCTCCCCTATCTATTTGTCCTCCTTTTTTTCTCCGTCTTTTTATGAAAGCGATGCGTGCAATGGTAAAAGAAAACCGCCCCCTCCATCTCGCGTATCATAAATTACGATTTTACTTCAGCCTTACAAGAGAATATTATTGTCGGCACCTGAATTTTAGTCGATACATCAAATGGGCATTTAGATAATGAAAATTTAATACAAAGAGAGAAAAAAAAAGTAAAAAAGAAAAGAAAAAGCTGGGCCAATCAATTCATATTGGCCCAATTCGCGCAACTCTGCCCCATCTATAAAATTAGCCCATGTCATTTTTTTAATGGGCTTTGGTACATGAAGCCCAAAGGAAGGGAAGGGAAGGCCCAGCCCAGTCTTTCTAGGTTACCCGTGAGCAAGAGGAGGACACAGCAGCAAAACGGGGTTGGCTCCATCTCTCCGATCATCTTCTTCAGAAACTTTCGCCTTAGAGCTTGGCCGCCGCCGTTAGCCTCCGCCGCTGACCACCGCGAATTCCGACTTCATTGCTCCTCAGTCGCCACCGTCCTTTCTCCCCCTTCGCCAACGTTCTTCTTCGTGAGAAATGCACGCCGTACACGACACGAGAGAGAGACAGAGAGAGATGAGGAAACTCGAGGGTGAACGCTTTGTGGGGAGTTGATTCTTGGAATCCGCTCGTCGTCCCCGAAGTCGCTAACCATCGTTCGCTGCTGCTGTGCTGACTAGCGATTCGGGAGGAGAACCTGGACTTGCTCTGTTCTGCTTTGCTCAGCGACCCAGGAATATCGAGGTGGGAAAATCGCGCTGGGGACACGCTCGATACCCGTGACTCCGATCACTGGAGATAAGCCAAACTCCCATCGTTGATCTAGTCGCCCATCGTAGCTCTGTTTCCACACATCGCCCAGGTAGCGCTGATGTCCTGACCTACTCTGTTTTGACAAAGGAGGGAACCTAGACGTCATTATCTCCGTTAGGATAGGAGTCGGTTTTACTCATGTATGCCTTCCTGATTCTGAATGTCTGTCTCACCATGCTCGGCACACTTGATGACTCGAACAAACGCACGTCACCTGTTCGATGAAATGTCTATGAGAATTCAGTGCCGGTTATTTTCGTTTCTGTCTAATCCGAAAGTACATTTTGACCTGGATTAAATGATGTTAATTGATTTTTAAGTCATTCGAGTATGAGTTTAGCCATTTCATCATGACCCAAGTATCCCTGCTTTTCTCTACTGGATGTTCTATGCCCCCACTGGCGTTAAATCCGTGATTGGTTGCGAGAACACGGCCGGAGTTGATGTCCGCGTCGTCGGCGACTCGGTGGAGGACGGTGCGGTAATTGTTGGTGGCATTTGGTGAAGCTGTCGCAGGTGGTGGTGTTGATTTTGCCTGTGGTTTGTCCTGGGAATGACTTGATGAATATGCGAATGGGGGGGTATTGAGTAGTCTAGGAACGATGGATCTTTGAGGAAAATATAAAAATATATAAAAAAAATGGGGAAGAATGATAACAAAATGGGCTTAATTTGTTTGGTAACATTTGGGCTTAATTCTAGCTATAGGGTTTGTGAGTGTTGGGCTTAAGTTGAAATTTTGGTAAGTTGGGCTTGGTTTAGGTTCAATGAGTTCGGGCTTAATTCAGTTTGGGATAATTAAAATTTAAAAATTTTAAAAAATCGAAAAATATTAATTTAAAAAATCAGGAAATGGCTAGAAATAAAATCCTGTTAATTCTTAGTAATAGATTTGTTTTAGTTTCAATTGGATAATATAACCTTGAGTTTAGGAGTATTTAGTGTTTACCTTGGATATAGCTTATGGTTTAGATAGATTAATCCTTTATTTGAATTAAGGTGATAAGGTTGCTATCTTGGAGCTTAATAACGAGGCCGAGTTATATTGTTTGCCCAACTTGTATCGTCCAACTTGTATCGGGTTATTATACTACACTTCACCATTTTATTCACTTTTCATTGCAATTATTGATTTGTTTGTTTGTTGTGATTGCTTTTTACGTAGTTTTTATGTTGTAATTCGTGGTTAGGTTACATTATAAGGCCGTAATAAATACAAAAACATTGTATGAACACTTAGCGGATGTGGACCTTAGGATTCATAATTTTTGTTATAAAGACTGCATGGACATCTTAATTGACAAATAATCAAATTTAGGTAACGAAAGGACACTAATTAGATAATTAGTGTAATCAAATCTCATACCTTACATTTTTTATTACGTAGGAAGTGAGGTATACTATCACACTTCGCTCACTTTCTAACAAATCCTAATAGGTTAATAGCGATTCATTATACAAAATTTTCATAGAGTTAATCGAAATTTAAATGAAAATCCCAATATCACATAAGGTAAGGACCATTGTTCTCTAATTTGGCATTACCAGTCCTTTCCTCGACACTGTGTTGGGAGGGTCGCGAAATTATATGTCAAGAATATATTAGATATTTTGAGGGTGGATACCAAATTCAAAAGTTGATTTTATGGATAGAGTATATAATGATAATAATAATAATAATAACAACGCCAAGCGCGAAAATGTTTGATGGCTCTAACAAAATTGATATTGGTAGGAAAAATATTTTGAAAAAATATATGAAAGAATAAGTGCACAAAATGGCGGAAGTTAATAAGAAATGGAAGTTTAATTAAAGTTATAGTGAGAAAATGGGTGATTATTTCTCAAATTTCTTAGGTAATAATTAATAATTATAGTTTCATTTGGCGGAGTTGTAGGCGGGCAAGCGGCTGGGGATTCTAGGGCTGTAGCTCAACTTTGCTCTCCCTCCCGCTCTGCATTCTGGCGGTCTCTGGAGTTCTGTGAGTGTCTCTTGTCTACACTCCAATCTGCTTCTCTCGGCGTTAGGTTTTCTTGTCATATGGTGGCGGAAATTTGAATGTGGGTGCTTGTTATTATTCGTTGATTCCTTCTCTTTTGTTCGTCTTCGTGTTGTGCATTCTTGGGTTTGGTTTTCTTTTTCGTCTCTTGGTCGTTCTTGGGTTCGATTTCGTGTGTTGGGTTCTTGCCTGTTGTTTGAAGCAGCTTCGAACGTGTTGCTTTTTTCTTCCCCTTTGTCCACAGGGCAGTACATTCCTGGTGAAGCTGAAGGGCCTGTTGCGAATACTTCTTGCCATATATGGCTTCCGCAGGACAGGCGCCGTCTCTGAAGAGGCGGGATCCGCCGGCCGGGAGAGTAGGCGACCAGCTGATCATTACTCCCCTCGGTGCGGGCAATGAAGTGGGTCGGTCCTGCGTCTACATGTCTTTCAAAGGGAAGACTGTGTTGGTACTGCTTCTTGCTTGGTTTTCATGAGTTCTTCGGTTTGGAGTTTTAGCCAACATGGGTTGGTGTCTCTCGTGATCTTTTCGTAATTGTTGTATGTCGATGACAGTTTGATTGTGGAATTCATCCTGCTTACTATGGAATGGCTGCTCTTCCGTACTTCGATGAGATTGACCCTTCGACAATTGACGTCCTTCTAATTACTCAGTACGTGTTGTCTGCCTTCTCTATTAGCATTAACTTAGCTTTGGTGAGGAGGTCCACTCCTCCCATTATGTGCAGTTGCCTTTCCTGGTGTTTGCTCTTAATTTGCTTCAACAATGGTTCTTTCTTCCTACGACTTGCCAAAGGAATTCGTCATTGCCCCTCAGTAGGATCCCATCCTAGTTCAATCCATTGGGCTGTTATCAAATTATCAGCACCAATGTCTGTAAAGTTTGGGATGGGCTTCTCACTAGCTTGCATTATTGCTGATTTATATTTCTACCCCTCACTTTGATATTTAGCTTCCACAGTAAAGGTCTCTGGTCTTTATCAGTCGATGTTGACTGCTTGCAGCTTCCACTTGGATCACGCAGCTTCCTTACCATACTTTTTGGAAAAGGTCAGCGGCTATATTAGAGTAAAAACATACTTTTAATTATTGAATTTTACTCTGATTCCGATAACCTGAATTGCTCTCATTTTTCCAGACTACATTTAAAGGACGTGTCTTCATGACTCATGCTACAAAGGCTATATACAAGCTGCTTTTGTCAGATTATGTAAAAGTGAGCAAGGTCTCAGTTGATGATATGCTTTATGATGAACAAGATATATTGCGTTCAATGGATAAGATTGAGGTATTTCCTTCATTCGTTGAGCCCATTCTTCATGCCACACAAATTTGCTTGCTAATGTTTGCCTTGGGGATTCCTCCTTGGTGACCAATTTGTTGAATTTTGCTGATTCTAGAAGGGATAATATATTTGATGAAGAAGCAGAATAATCTTGGTTTTCACACAGTCATGGATGGATTGCTTGTGTATACCATTTACATGTCAGAAGCATGTGCAGGCTTTAGCTATACCTCGGGCTCAGTAGGATTCAATTGTTTTTTTTTTTAGGTGAATTGAAGATTCCCTATATGCTTGAACCCACCATTACTCGTATGTTACCTTTCAACGAATAATTGTTCAGCATCAAGCTGATATGAGTTTTGTTTCTTTTAAGATGAAGCACAGGATCCTTCTTCTGTTGCAACTCAAGCTGTCTCCGGCCGCTTTTATTGACAATATAGTTTATTTATCCCCAGTTGTGGAATATGTATGAAACTGGATAAACTAGTGCTCTCAATGGATAAACTAGTTGTCTCAATAGTTATGTGTCATACAGTTGCTATATGTGTCGTACACTTGTAGTATCTATTCTACGGGATATTCGCCTAGGATTATGACTCGATGTTGTCTAGTCTACCAGACATTGGCGATTAACTTATCATGGATATGTTGGGTTGTGTTTCGTGTGACAATGTCTTCTGATGGAATGTTAATTATTCAATGTAAATGAACGGGCAATCATCTTACTTTTGCTGTTCTTTGAACTTCCTTGGATGCATATTGTCTTAACTAACGATCCCAATGCATGTAAATTACGTTAGCTATTTTTAATTGTAGGTAATTGATTTCCACCAAACAGTTGAAGTGAATGGGATTCGATTTTGGTGTTATACTGCTGGCCATGTTCTCGGTGCTGCAATGTTCATGGTCGATATTGCTAGTGTACGAGTCCTTTACACTGGTGATTATTCCCGTGAAGAAGATAGGCATCTCCGAGCTGCAGAGATTCCTCAGTTCTCACCTGATATCTGCATAATTGAGTCCACTTTTGGAGTGCAGCTTCATCAACCTCGTCATATTCGGGAGAAACGGTTCACTGATGTCATCCATTCTACTGTTTCTCAAGGAGGTAGAGTCCTTATCCCTGCATTTGCTCTTGGTCGTGCTCAAGAACTTCTGTTGATCCTTGACGAGTTCTGGTCCAACCACCCTGAGCTCCATAATATTCCTATATATTATGCTTCCCCCCTTGCAAAGAAGTGTATGGCTGTTTATCAAACATATATCAATTCCATGAATGAGAGGATCCGTAGCCAATTTGCAACAGCAAATCCTTTTGACTTCAAGCATATTTCGCCGCTAAAGAGTATTGAGAATTTTAATGACGTCGGGCCATCAGTTGTTATGGCTAGTCCCGGCGGGCTTCAAAGTGGGTTATCGCGTCAACTATTTGACATGTGGTGCTCTGACAAGAAAAATGCTTGTGTCATTCCTGGATATGTCGTGGAAGGGACTCTAGCAAAGACCATCATCAATGAACCGAAGGAAGTCACTCTGATGAATGGTCTCACTGCTCCTCTTAACATGCAAGTTCATTATATTTCCTTCGCTGCCCATGCTGATTTTGCTCAGACAAGCGCGTTTTTGGATGAGATAATGCCTCCAAACATCGTTCTTGTTCATGGAGAAGTAAATGAGATGGGAAGGCTCAAACAGAAGCTAGTTACTCAGTTTGCTGATCGCAACACCAAAATCATGATGCCAAAGAATTGTCAATCAGTTGAAATGTACTTCAATTCAATGAAAATGGCAAAAACTATTGGGAGGCTGGCTGAGAAGACCCCAGAAGTGGGTGAGACTGTTAGTGGCCTTCTGGTAAAGAAAGGCTTCACTTATCAAATAATGGCACCTGAAGATCTTCACGTTTTCTCTCAGTTGTCTACAGCAACTACTAATCAGAGGATCACAATTCCTTATACAGGTGCGTTTGGTGTAATAAGCCACCGGCTGAAGCAGATATATGAAAGTGTGGAATCTTCAGTAGATGAGGAATCTGGCATTCCCATGTTACGTGTGCATGATCGAGTAACAGTGAAGCAGGAATCTGATAAACATATTTCACTGCACTGGAATTCGGATCCTATAAGTGACATGGTTTCAGATTCCGTTGTTGCTCTTGTCTTGAACATAAGCCGTGAATTTCCCAAGGTCGTGGTTGAAACAGAGGCTATGAAAACTGAAGAAGAAAGTGAGAAAAAGGTAGAGAAGATCTTTCATGCACTTCTAGTTTCTCTCTTTGGGGATGTGAAATTTGGTGAGAATGGAAAGCTGGTGATAAATGTGGATGGGAATGTAGCGCATCTGGACAAGCAGAGTGGGGATGTGGAGAGTGAAAATGAAGGCCTTAAGGAAAGGGTAAGGACTGCATTTCAGCTAATCCAGAGTGCTGTAAAGCCAATATCCTTGCCAGGTTCTTAGGTATCTTTCATGTTTCTTGTAGCTTTCTTGTTTCAGGTCATTCTCTAACCATAGATTGTAGCATCAAGCTCATGGTATGTATATCCTCAACTCACAATCTAAGTTCAGCCCAAGTTTTAAGCATCTAAAGTTGGATCTCAGCTCTCAGAACAAGTTTCAACAGTTGCGCTTGGATTACTTATTTTTTTGTACTTTTACGTATTTAATTTTGGTGTCTGAAGGCTGGCTAGGCACGAGTGTCACCTTGCAGAAGAGACTTGCCATTTCTTTTCCTGAATGCAAATTTTCTAATTCATGCGAGCAGGTTTGTGAAGACAGCCTGTGTGCTACATGGGAAGGTGCATCCATGCGGTTATGCCGAGGCTTTGTGATGTCTAGCTTTCACGTACCAAGGAACGGCCAAATCACGAACTTTGTCATCATTGCTTTACTCGTGACGAGTTGATGGGGAATTGATGAGTAATTGGGTAAAAATTTTGTGCTTGGGTCATACTTAGCTGAGATGACAAGTGGGGCGATATGGTCCTTTTTACCCGAGTTTGGGTTTGTCTCACTAATCTGTACCCTTTTGATTACAATTCTGTCGGTTAAACCAAACGATGGTGTATCGGTATGTCCCAAATCCTCGGCATTTAAAAGAGTTTGGAAATTATGAGATCCCAAAAGTATGTTGTGGTCGAAATTAAAGTGCAGTCATCGGCTACTAACTTGTGTAGTTCCCTCCCATACTGAAACGACAAGTATACAACCCGAGCTTGGGGATCGCAAATGCTTTAGAAATCGATCTATTTGTTGAATGGACAATTATACCACCAGATCATGATCATCTTTTGTAGCATTTGCCAACATTTGACCAGAAAGTTTCGTGAATTAGGCCTTTGAAGATCATGACCAACTTGTACTAATGTCAATGATACAACACGATGATTAACGGGTGAGGCTTTTCTCTTACCTACGTTCTCCACTAATTTTCTTTCAACGTTCTTGTCACTGAACCCACAGCTCTCACTGCACAAACCAATGGTGGCGGGGCCGCTTTGGGACTATACTAGAAACCCAAACTCGACAAGTACCGTATACACCTTCGATGTCAAACCCAAAGGACAACTTTTGGAATGAAGTTCTAAAGACATCCTCCGTATATGAGAACCTTAAACACATGGGAATCGGCACGATTGGTGATTAGATTTCACTAGTAACTTAGCCCACGCTTTGCACAAACATGTGTATTTACATAATTTTGAATTGGCAACGAGTCAATAATATGAGATGTGATGTAAGAGTTAAGATGAAATTTGTTTAATGATTATATACAGTGTTCTGGAAGAATCTCATGCTTTACGGAGGCGTAAGATTAAGACTTTGCGAAAAGACTGTTTCCTAAGCACAAAGAATATGAATTGAAAAAATGATTATTAGCGTACAATGATAGAAGCTATACTAGAAATAAGTTTATTCAAAAAGTAGATAAAATCTTAATATATATTTTAATTCCTTTTTACAAGTTTAGACTCAATAAGAGATAAAATCTCGATATACTTTTGTTTAATCCGTCGGTCGCTTGATCTAGCCTATTCACTGTTGTAATGAAAAATATTGGTCTTCCAAGGTTGTCAGTACGCGATCTGACTTAGGATCGATGAAGGTGTCTACAAGGACTAGATCGTAACATCCTAAAAATTACACCAACAATGCAAAAATCTTGGATAGTCATATGGAATTTATTTGCTATGAACAATGTGTGTTGTTGAAACTCCAAAATAGCGTGAATTTAAATTTTATGCCATATTCATATTATATGTACCGGTAAATTTGACTTTTCTAGTACCTAAATATGAGGATACAAGAGATATCTGAATATACGTATTTCAAGGTTAAAGAATGTAAAAATAGCATCTATAGGACCGGTAGGATCATATTGATCCTATGTTCCTTTTTTTTTTAGTTTAGGATCGTGACCATGTAAAGATCCTTGCAAATTAAGATCTTACTATAGATCCGACTCATTTCTTAAGTTTTGAATGGTAGGATCCTACTTATGCAATTCCATCTTCTTGGCCTGGGAAGATATGACTCGGTTTCATTTTGCATGCATGACGGCGAGTATTGAAATGATTTTATCGATTGGTCATGTCGTATAGGCCCGAGTTGTACATATAATCGCTTCCATACATGATGTCATATTGGGGAAAGTTTTTTGCGGTTAGGATGACGGGAACGGCAGAGGGTGCAATATGTTTGTTTTTCCACTATAGCTTGGCCATTACCTTTGTAGGGGAATAGTCAGGAGGACTCCAGCATCACGAAGGTAAATTTTGGTGTATCGCGAACTAATTTCTATTCTTGAGGCCTTGTATTAGTCGGGGTTTCGTTACAGAGTCCTCTGGCTACAGGTTGTGAGGAAAAATGGGGAAGGCCTGATGCAATTTCTTATTGAAAGGTGGATTTTAGTGCATTAGCAGTGTTGGGGAATGGTCGCGTGCTCGATGCTTAGCGTGTAGATCTGTCAAAATGGGTCATAGGTTATATTTAATGGGCCAAGTTGTTATGTAGATTAATATATATTCACTAAATGGGTTTAGAATGGTAAAGCTCAAAATAATAAGGGTATTAAATAGATTCACGGCTTACTTAGACCCAACTCACTTTTATAACTCTTTTTTCACTCTTGCTCGCCCTCATCAGATCTCGCGCTTACTCACTCCTCGTTCTCATCTTAGTTTTGGTATGAGTTTTCCTAGATGCAGTTAGATATGGAAGTGTTTTAATAATATGGGTCTGGTAAATGCTAGATTTGAGTTGGGTTGGGTAAGCATCACTAGATTTGCTTTGTATGGAAATGGGTTAATTTGAGTCGGACTATTTTTAACCTAACCTAATCCACCCGCTTGACGGGTCTATTGGCGTGTAATGGCATGTGGCTTTGCTTTGCTTGTCCTGGCGTCGGCATGAGAATTGCATGAATTACCTGAGGGGCATTCATTCACAAAATTAGGATCACATAGTTCCCTGGAGCTGTTCGGTTCTGCCTAGTAATCATTCTCCCAATTTTTGCTCCCTCTTGTATTTTTTGTTCCAGACGCTGTACCAGAAGTTCCAGAAACCTTCTTGTGGCTTGGCAGGACTGGAGGACCTGTTTGCCAGCAAGATCAGAAGAAGTTTTCATTCCGTTTGCTTCAGAAAATGAATTCCATTTTTGAAGTGCTTGGGCTCTCATTTGATTGCTGAAAATAGCTTGTGATTAAAATTTGTTTAAACCTTTGCAGGAAGAGTTGGTAGTATGCGAATGCGGGTTCAATAGTCGTCGACGCCTAAATTTTACCCAAAGGTATTTCTCGCATTGCCGAAAAAAGGGAAAAAAACGCGAAAACCGGGATTTAGTTCCCTACCAAAATGTCTCTTTACTATGCATTGGAACCTTGCATTTCATGTTTAAGTGTTGGATAGTTTTTTGTTGTTTTTTCTGGTCGAAAGTGTTGGATAGTTATATTATATATTAGTTGTTCTATTTCTGGACAGAAAAGAGAATGGGTGGAGAGATACAACATGGTCACTAGGTGTTATATTAGTAATTTTTTTTTATCTCTCAATTAATTTAGTTCTATTTTAGCTAGTCATCCTTATTCTAAAATATTGGGAATTTGGAACCCAAGACTCGTTTTCCGCCAAAAAAAAGATAATTTACATTATAAATATATTTATGGAAAGAATCAATGAAAACAAATATATATTTTATAAGTTAAAGTGGTTGGTAAGAATAACGAGACTCCAATGCGCGCTGCGCGTAAATGTTTGATGGCTGTAACATCAATTTATATCGGTAAGAAAAGGAATAAGTATATCAGAAGTGCTAAAACGTCTTATCATGGGAGTACGATTAAGTTCTAAAACTTTCAAAAAGTGCAATCAAACCCTTAAATTTGTCGATTTGGTCTAACTAAGTCATTCCGTAAACTCTGTTAATTCATCTAACGAAAAATGATGAGGTGTCATTTTTTTAATTATTTTCTCTCTTATACATGATGATTACTTTAACTAAAGCATGAAGTATAATACCCAAACAACGTAGTTTTGGACCAAATCTTTAGTTTTACAATCTCAAATCTGGTCGTTTTGGACCAAATCTTAGTTTGATAATCTCAAATCTTACTTAAATTAGATTAAAAAAAGGAAAAGACTAACATTTATTAAAAACAAGAAACTATGCAAAAGAGAGCGAGAGAGAGATCTAGGCTTATTAAATTAGGGAATTTCGCGAGGTTTCCGAATGAGGGGATTAATGGGAGTGCTCCTTGCTCTCTTTTTCTTTCCCCTGTTTTTCTCTCATGTTGCATGCATAGCAAGCAGGATGCCAGGCCTATTTTGGTTAAGGCACATGAAGCATTACTTGGAGCTACTGATGTGAGGCCTTTCATGTTGAAGATGAAGGGCGAAATCGATCCCGTGGAAGGCCCGAAGCCGGCGTCGCCTCGTGTTCCGCCGCCGTCGATTGAACCGGGTGGCTCTAGCAAGCTCCTTTGTACAAGATAACACTCGACTTCTTGCAAGAAAAGTTGATCGGAGATGGAGGTCTGTTTGATATCTCTCAAATCCTAGGCTGGTGAGGGTTGCCGGACATTTCCGGTGATGGGCTGTGGTCGCGGCCCACCGGCGAGGGCCTTGTGACTTTTCTTTTTAGTTTGGGTTTTTTTTTTCCAATAAATTTTAGCCTTTTCATTTTTTAATCTAATTTACGTAAGATTTAGGGAAGAAGATCAACAAAAATGCCTCATAGGAGAGAGAATATAATGAAAAAAATGATAGGTTAGCATTTTAGGCAAAGTTAACAAAAAAACTTGATTGCATTGATTTGACAAGTTTTAGAATTTGATTGCACTTTTTTAAAGTTTTAAGACCTAATCACACTTTTACGGTAAGTTTTACGACTTTTGATGCACTTATTCCAAATTTAGAATATTGTTAATACCACACGAAAAACTCCGAACTAGTACACTTGTGACAAATTTACTATAAACTAATTTTTTGACCATAAAAAATCCCAAACTGGTACATATGTGACAAATTTATCTAAAACTAATTTTTTAACCACCAAAAACCCCAAACCAGTATACTCATGACAAATTTACCCTTCGTTAAATTGAATTATACCATAAATAACCACAAACGAGTAAATCTGTGACAAACAGAGGGGGTAAAACCCTAAATTAGTAAACTCGTCAACTGTTACGTGTCATCCACCTCAGCAATTTTACAATACAATTTAACGTAAACTAATAAAGGGTAAACTTATCACTAGTGTATCAGTTAAGGGTTTTTGATAGTTAAAAAATTAATTTTGAATAAATTTATTAACCGTGTACCAGTTTGGGGTTTTTGTAATATTAACCCTTTAGAATAATAAGTTCGCAAAATAGTGGAGGTTAAGTAGCAATGAAATTTCAACTGCCGGGGGTTGCTTAGTAACCACTCTTCTCAAGTGGGAAGGGATAGATGCGGAGTTCGATTCCTCACATTTTCAGAGGGTTGGGGTGGGGACGTTTAGTTCAAGTGTAGGTTTAACTCCTATGTTTTGTAAAGAGACAAAGCAGAAGTTTGAAAGTGAGATAAGAATTAGAGTGAGGCAGAAAAAAAAAACGTAGAAATGAAATTTCGATTAAGTTCTAATTTTTGGTAATATAGTCAATTGGCTGTAGCTTAATTTTCCTCTCTTTGACATTTGGCAGTCTCCGTAGCTCTGCAAGTCTCTCTCGTCTTCATTTCAATCTGCTTTTCGTTCTTGTTATGCCTGGAGAAAGGAAAAACAAGGACACGTTACTTGAATTTGGATCTTTCGATCTGATGCATGTAAACTCCAAGCTACTCGCTTGAGTTTAAAGCATCTGCACGAGCTTAACTGTCAACTTCGTTGCACCCCCTCCCCCCCAAAGTTCAGAAACTCGAGATGGGCAATTTCCTCCCAGTTGGGTTTTCTTGGTAGGTGGTGGCAGTGATTTGAATTTTGATGCATGTTATTTGTTAATGGTTTCTTTTTGTTCATCTTGAGGTTGTACATCTTCGGGTTTGACTTCGAGTGTTGTGTTCTTGCCTGTTGTTTGAGCAGCTTCGAACATGTTGTTTTTTTCCCCCCACAGGGCAGTACGTTTTTGGTGAATTTGAAGGGCCTGTTGCGAATATTTCTTGCCATATATGGCTTCCACAGGACAGGCGCCGTCTCTGAAGAGGCGGGATCCGCCGGCCGGGAGAGAAGACGACCAGCTGATCATTACTCCCCTCGGTGCTGGCAATGAAGTGGGTCGGTCCTGCGTCTACATGTCTTTCAAAGGGAAGACTGTGTTGGTACTGCTTCTTTCTTGGTTTTCATGAGTTCTTCGGTTTAGAGTTGTTAGCCAACATGGGTTGGTGTCTCTCGTGATCTTTTCGTAATTGTTGTATGTGGATGACAGTTCGATTGTGGAATTCATCCTGCTTACTCTGGCATGGCTGCTCTTCCGTACTTTGATGAGATTGACCCTTCGACAATTGACGTCCTCCTAATTACTCAGTACGTGTGATCTGCTTTCTTTATTAGCATCAACTTAGCTTTGGTGAGGAGGGCCACTCATTCCATTATGTGCAGTTGCCATTGCTGGTGTTTGCTCGTAATTTGCATGAAGAAAGGATCTTTCTTCCTATGACTTGCCAAAGGAATTCGCCATTGCCCCTCAGTAGGATCCCATTCTACTTGAATCCATTGGGCTGTTATCGAATTATCAGCACCGATGTCTGTAAAGTTTAGAATGGGCTTCTCACTAGCTTGCATTATCGCTGATTTATATTTCTACCCCTCACTTTGATATTTAGCTTCCACAGTAAAGGTCTCTAGTCTTTATAAGTCGATGTTGACTGCTTGCAGCTTCCACTTGGATCATGCAGCTTCCTTACCATACTTTTTTGAAAAGGTTTGCGGCTATATCTGAGTAAAAACATACTTTTAATTATTAAATTTTACTTTAAGACCGATAAACCTGACTTGCTCTCATATTTCCAGACTACATTTAAAGGTCGTGTCTTCATGACTCATGCTACGAAGGCTATATACAAGCTGCTTTTGTCAGATTATGTAAAAGTGAGCAAGGTCTCAGTTGAAGATATGCTGTTTGATGAACAAGATATATTGCGTTCGATGGATAAGATTGAGGTATTTCCTTCATTTGATGAGCCCATTCTTCATCCCACACAAATTTGCTTGCTAGTGTTTGCCTTGGGGATTACTCCTCGGTGACCAATTTGTTGAATCTTGCTGATTCTAGATGGGATGATATCATTGATGAAGAAGCATAATAATTTTGGTTTTCATACAGTCATGGATGGATTGCTTGTGTATACCATTTACATGTCAGAAGCATGTGCAGGCTTTAGCTATTCCTCCGGCTCAGTAATATGCAATTGTTTTTTATGCTTAGGTGAATTGCAGATTCTCCATATGCTTAGAACCCACCGTTCCCTGGATGTTACCTTTCAACGAATCAATGTTCAGCGTGGAGCTGATATGAGTTTCGTCTCTTTTAAGATAAAGCACAAGCTCCTTCTTCTGTTGCAACTCAAGCTGTCCCTGCCGCTTTTATGTACAAAATAGTTTATTTATTCCCAGTTGTGGCATCTGCATGAGAAGCTGGATGAACTAGTTATCTCAATACTTATGTGTCATACAGTTTGCTATATGTGTTGTATACTTATAGAATCTATTCTACGGGATTTTGTCTTAGAATGGTCACTCGATGTTGTCAGTGCTATGAGACATTGGCGATTAACTTATCATGGATATGTTGGGTCGTGTTTCGTGCAAAAACAATGTCTTCTGATGGAATGTTAATTATTCAATGTAAATGAACTGGCAATCATCTTACTTTTGCTGTTCTTTGAAGTTCCTTGCATGCGTAATGTCTATACTATTGATCCCAACGCATGTGAATCATGTTACCTATTTCTAATTGTAGGTAATTGATTTCCACCAAACAAGTGAAGTGAATGGTATTCGATTTTGGTGTTATACAGCTGGCCATGTTCTTGGTGCTGCAATGTTCATGGTCGATATTGCTGGTGTACGAGTCCTTTACACAGGTGATTATTCCCGTGAAGAAGATAGGCATCTCCGAGCTGCAGAGATTCCTCAGTTCTCACCTGATATCTGCATTATTGAGTCCACTTATGGAGTTCAGCTTCATCAACCTCGTCATATTCGGGAGAAACGGTTCACTGATGTCATCCATTCTACTGTTTCTCAAGGAGGTAGAGTCCTTATCCCTGCATATGCTCTTGGTCGTGCTCAAGAACTTCTGTTGATCCTTGACGAGTTCTGGTCCAACCACCCTGAGCTCCATAGTGTTCCTATATATTATGCTTCCCCTCTTGCAAAGAAGTGTATGGCTGTTTATCAAACATATATCAATTCCATGAATGAGAGGATCCGAAGCCAATTTGCATCATCAAATCCTTTTGACTTCAAGCATATTTCGCCACTAAAGAGTATTGAGAATTTTACTGACGTCGGTCCATCGGTCATTATGGCTAGTCCCGGCTCGCTTCAAAGTGGGTTATCGCGTCAACTATTTGACATGTGGTGCTCTGATAAGAAGAATGCTTGTGTTCTTCCTGGATATGTCGTGGAAGGGACTCTGGCAAAGACACTCATCAATGAACCAAAGGAAGTCACTCTGATGAATGGTCTCACTGCTCCTCTTAACATGCAAGTTCATTATATTTCCTTCTCTGCCCATGCTGATTTTGCTCAGACGAGCGCGTTTTTGGATGAGGTAATGCCTCCAAACATTGTTCTTGTTCATGGAGAAGCACATGAGATGGGAAGGCTCAAACAGAAGCTTGTGACTCAGTTTGCTGATCGCAACACCAAAATCATGATGCCAAAGAATTGTCAATCAGTTGAAATGTACTTCAATTCAGAGAAAATGGCAAAAACTATTGGGAGGCTGGCTGAGATGACCCCAGAAATGGGTGAGACTGCAAGTGGCCTTCTGGTAAAGAAAGGCTTCACTTATCAAATAATGGCACCTGAAGATCTTCATGTTTTCTCTCAGTTGTCCACATCAACTATTAATCAGAGGATCATGATTCCTTATGCAGGTGCTTTTGGTGTAATAAGCCACCGACTGAAGCAGATATATGAAAGTGTGGAATCTTCAGTAGACGATGAATCTGGCATGCCCATGTTACGTGTACATGATCGAGTAACAGTGAAGCAGGAATCTGATAAACATATTTCACTGCACTGGACATCGGATCCTATAAGTGACATGGTTTCAGATTCTGTTGTTGCTCTTGTCTTGAACATAAGCCGTGAGATTCCGAAGGTTGTGGTTGAAACAGAGGCCATGAAAACTGAAGAAGAAAGTGAGAAAAGGGTAGAGAAGATCATTCATGCACTTCTAGTTTCTCTCTTTGGTGATGTGAAGTTTGGTGAGAATGGGAAGTTGGTGATAAATGTGGATGGGAATGTAGCGCATCTGGACAAGCAGAGTGGGGAAGTGGAGAGTGAAAATGAAGGCCTTAAGGAAAGGGTAAGGACTGCATTTCGGCGAATCCAGAGTGCTGTAAAACCAATACCCCTGTCAGGTTCTTAGGTATCTTTCATGTTTCTTGTAGCTTTCTTGTTTCAGGTCATTTTCTAACTGTAGATTGAAGCATCTAGCTCATGGTATGTATATCCTCAACTCACAATCTAAGTTCAGCCCAAGTTTTAAGCATCTAAAGTTGGATCTCAGCTCTAAGAACAAGCATCAACAGTTGTGTTGGATTACTCAGTTTTTTGTGCTTTTACGTATTTAGTTTTGGTGTCTGAAGGCCGGCAAGGCTCGATTTTCACCTTGTGGAAAAAACTTGCCATTTCCTTTCCTAAATACAATTTTCCTAGTTCATGCGAGCAGCTTTGTGAAGACATCTGTGCTACATGAGAAGATGCATCCATGTGGTAATGCTGTGGCTTTGTGATGTCTAGTTTTCATGTACCAAGGAATGGCCAATTCGCGGACTGTTATTGTAACTCCTGTGACGAGTTGATGGGGAATTGATGAGTAGTTGAGTAAAAAGTTTGAGCTTGGTCATGCTTAGTTAAGATGTCAAGTGGGGCTATATGCTTCTTTTTACCTGAGTTCGGGTTTGTCTCGCTGATCTGTACCCTTCTGATTACAATTCTCTTAGTTAAACCAAACAATGGTTTATCAATATGTCCCAAATCCTCTGCTACATGTTGTATATTGCAAATGACAAGCCCTGTTAAATGAACAGCATCCCTTAACTAACACCAACTTGTGTACTTCCCTCCCATACTGAACGACAAGTATACAACTCGAGTATGGTGATCGCAAATGCTTTAGAAATCGATGTATTTGTATTTTGATGAATGGTCAATTATACCACCGGATCATGATCATCTTTTGTAACATTTGCCAACATTTGACCACATAGTTGCATGAATTTAGGCCTTTGAAGATCATGACCAACTTGTACTAATGTCAATGATATAACACAATGATCAACGAGTTGAGGCCTTTCTCTGACCTACGTTCTCCACTAGTTTTCTTTCATTGTTCATGTCACTGAACCCACACCTCTTACTGCACAAATCAATGGTAGCGGGGCGGGTTCCGGACTACTCGAGAAGTACCGAATACACATTCGACGTCAAACCCAAAGAACCACTATTTGAATAAGTTCTAAAGACATTCCCGTGAAGTACATGAGAACCTTAAACAACACAGGTACCGGCACGATTGGAGATTAGATTTCACTAGTTACTTAGTCCGCGCTTTGTGCAAGCATGTCTATTTGCATATCTCTGAATAGGCAATACGCTAATAATATGAGGTGTGATGTAAGAGCTAAGATGAGATTTGTTTAATGATTATGTACAGGTTTATGGAGGAACATCGTCCTTTATGGAGGTGTAAGATTAATATTTGGCGAAAAGACTGTTTCCTAAGCACACAGAACATGAACAAAAAAAATGATGTCTAGCGTACAACGAAAAAACTAATATCTGAAAGAAGTTTATTCAAAAAGTAGAAAATAAAGCTAAACAAAATGCTAATGCTCTATGATTTTAATTAAATTGTAATTTAATTATTATTTACTTAAACATAGTACTGTAAGTCCAATAAAAAATCAAATTTTTTGTAATATAAGTTGGGTAAATGACACAAATGGTCACTGAACTTTGACCCGATGTGAAATGTCATCCCTGAACTTCAAATTTGTTCAATGTGGTCCATGAACTTTAGCCAAATATGCAATGTGGCCCATGAACTTTTAATTTATTCAATAGGGTCTCTAGACATTTGGTACATATTCAATTTAATCTGTGAACTGTATAAAAATGTTTAATGTTGTCCCTAAACTTAAATTTAGTTTTAACTTTTTAAAAACTTCACCACAATGATATGCCACGTTGGATTTCTGGCATTTAAGTGAACGTTTTTAAAATTTCACATTTAAGGACGCGAATGATTATCATTCTGTTTCAAAAATTAATTTATGACATTTCTATTTCTATTTCGTGGACGAATTTCTCATCAAAGATAGGCGTTTGATAACGAAATAGAATTTCTCTCCTCGGAACAGAAGTTCGTTCGATAAAATATCCCTCTCACGATTTTTTCCATTCATCAACAGGCGTCGATAGGTGGGGGGGCGGCGGCCGGTGGCAGGCGAAGGGTGACGATCGGCGGAGGGCAACAACGGATGAGGGCGGTGGCGACGGCGGGCAGTGGGAGGTGAGGATGTGCGATGAGAAGAGTTTTTATTTATCTTTTTGTTCCAAAAATAGAGAAGTAGAAAAATTTTACTTCTCATTTATGCTCAAATACTATTTTTGGAATATAATTTTGTTCTAGAAATAGAAAAATAAAATTGCGTTACCAAACGGATTTCTATTCTAAATTTGTTCTTAGGAAAAGAAAAATAAAAAAATAGAGAAACATAATGGTTATCATGCGCGCCTTAAGTGATCGATTGAAAGTTATGGTACTCAAGTGAACACTTGACACTTAAGTGGACGGAAAAAAAAAGTTATATACTCAAGTGATCGAATGAAAAGTTATATAGCAACCAAGTGATCGGAAAAAAAAGTTATAGCATTTAAGTGATCGAAAAAAAAAGTTATGGCTCTCAAGTGTGCGTTGTGCTAAAATTATAACAATTGTGGTGTCCTTTTTCCCAAAAATAACTTACGATATAAATAAACTTATGAAAAAAAAACTGAAAACAGAAATATTTGATAAGTTGTAGTCATTGGTAATAATAACAAGACTCCGCTATGCGATATGTGTAAATGTTTGATGACTCCAACAAAAAATTAGATTGATGAGAGAAATGTTAGAAAAATATAAAGCGATAACTGCACCAAAATCCTAAAACACGACACGAGAGTGCGATTGAATCATAAAACTTTCAAAAAGTGCAATAAAGTCATTTTACTAACTCCGTCAATATATCTAACGGAAAATGTAGATGTGTCGTTTTTTTTATTAGTTTCTCTTTCCTACGTGGTGATCACTTTAGCTAAAGCATGAAGTGTAAAACCAAAGCGATCTCATTTTGGCCCAAATCCTAGTTTTTTTTTAATTTTACATCTTAATTAAATTAATCAAAAAAATGAAAAAGACTTATATTTATTAAAAAAAGGAACCAAAGCTATATAAAAAAAAAGCCACGGGACCTTGCCGGTGGGCCGCCGTTGCCGCCCGACGTTGGAAAGGGCCCACAGATGTCACTAGGGCCTCACCGACGTTCGGCGACCCTCGCTGGCCTCGGGCGAGGCATCGCGTTCTGACACGGTTCGGCATCTCTCCTTCTGCATACTATACTCGCTTCTTCGATTCCGGTCCCTCCAAAAGTCGGTAATGGCGGTTCGAGCGGGAAGAAGCGGAAACACGGGGCGAAGAATCCTCTCGTTCTCGACGGACTCCGAAAGAGTCGCCGCTCAGCGTCACCAGGCGAGTGTTCGTTCCACTTCGCATTTCGTTCCCACCAAGTAAAAAGCAAGATCTAGGCTTAACTGGTTTTTGTGGATTTTTTGGTGAAAATGATTCTCATGTCCTCAAAGTTCGACTCCTTGAGCTTGTGTCGTTTGTCGAATGTTGAATTTAGGAATTCATTAATGGGACTGCTGTTTGCTCTTTTGTGTTTTTTTCTCCCCCGTTTTTCTCTCTTGTTGCGTGCATAGCAGGAAGGAGGCGAGGCCTCTTTTGGTGAAGGCATGCGAAGCTTTGCTTGGAGGTACCGATTTGGGGTCTTTCGTGTTAAAGATGAAGGGTGAAAACCGAAAATCGGTGTTGCCTGGCGTTCCGCCGTCATTTGTTAAACTCGAGAGGCTTTTGGCAAGCTCATTTTTATGAAATAACATTAGAGATGATCGTTTCAAGGAAGGTCGGTTCCCACTCGGAATTCGAGAATCAATCCGGGCACGATCAGTTCTAGGGAATTGATCCTGCCCACCCTGGAATCGGACTGACCGATTCCGATGCGGTTCTGGAGTTGTCCCATGAACTGGTCGTCTTTATTTATTTTGAATGTTTTATTTTCTTTCTCAAAAGTTTCAAAAGATATTGAAAGTTATTTTAGTATATGATGAAATTACTAATTACATGGAAATTACTTGTAAAAGAAGATATTACTCCCACAAAAAATATGTACCTTTTGCCCTTACTAAATACAAAAATAATATAGTTTGGGTTAGTCTTGCTGATTTGATCCGGTTCCTCCCTAGGAATTGAAAACTAGACTAATTATTTCTTGTTCCAAAATTTTGGAATCGGGAACCGCCCAGAACTGGCCGGTCCAATTTTATTTTCGAGTTGGACCAAGACCGTTACACACCCCTAAATAACACTCAACTTGCAAGAAAAGCTGATTGGAGATGAAGGTCTGTTTCAGATCTTTCGGTCCTTGGGGTGGTCCGTGACGGTCACCATACAATGGCGAGGTCTTGACGACCTTCGCCAGCCATTTCTAGTGATGGGCTGCAGCAGCGGCAAATCGGTGAGGGCCCTGTGACTTTTTAAAAAAAATAAATTTTAGCATTTTTCATTTTTTTAATCTAATTTAAGTAAGATTTTAGGAACAAAAAAATAAAAATACCACGTAAAAGAGAGAGATTATGATGAAAAAAATGACACGTCAGTATTGTCCGTTAGTCAAATTGACGAAGTTACCGAAATAACTTGATTATATCAATTTGACAATTTTTAGGGATTGATCACCTCTTTTGAAAATTTTAAGACTCAACGCACTTTCGCGACAAATTTTATAACTTCCATGCGCGTATTCCAAATTTAGAATAATAAGTTCACAAAATAGTGGAACTTGAGTAGGAGTTGAAATTTCCATAAGTCATAGTTATTGGTAATATAGTCAATTTAATAAGAATAATTTCATTAAACGTTGGGGTAGTAGGCAAGCAAGCACTTAGGGCTTTAGCTCAACTGTGCTCGCTTGCTCTCTCTCTCTGCATTTTGACAATCTCTGTAATTCTGTAAGTCTCTCTCGCCTACATTTCAAGCTGCTTTTCGTTCTTGTTACGACTGGAGAAAAGGAACAAGAGGACCCATTACTTGAATTTTGATCTTTCGAACCGATGCATGTAAAACCCCATGTTACTCTTTTGAGTTTAAGCGTCTGCACGAGCTTAACTGTCATCTTCGTTTCCCCCCCACCCAAAGTTCTGAAATTTCGAGATGGGTAATTTCCTTCCAGTTGGGTTTTCTTGGTAGGTGGTGGCAGTGATATGAATTTTCATGCGTGTTATTTGTTTATGGGTTCTTGTTTGTTCATCTTGAGTTTGTACATTTTCGGGTTTGGCTTCGAGTGTTGTGTTCTTGCCTGTTGTTTGAGCAGTTCCTTCTTTTTTTCAACACAGGGCAGTTCGTTTTTGGTGAATTTGAAGGGCCTGTTGCGGATATTTTCTTGCCATATATGGCTTCGGTAGGACAGGCGCCGTCTCTGAAGAGGCGGGATCCGCCGGCCGGGAGAGAAGGCGACCAGCTGATCATTACTCCTCTCGGTGCTGGCAATGAAGTGGGTCGGTCCTGTGTATACATGTCTTTCAAAGGGAAGACTGTGTTGGTACTGCTTCTTCTTGGTTTGCATGAGTTT